AAGAGTGGACGGAGAACACAGCCATAAAAAGATATCGAACTGCAATTCTCTTGCATATTTTCATGTCGTCACGCAATCTTCTCGATGGAACGGCGTCTCGATTCCCATATTCACTTGCTCCGGCTATCACTTACACAAACATTTCAGTGCTCATGAAGAGTGTCGTAGGGTTTCACAGCTAGAGATTTCTGATTCGAACTTTCAATTCTGGAAATTGTAGGGTTTTTATGAATCTGCTGATAAATTTGCGTCTTTAAAAGGGTTTTTTATTGAAGAGCCGAGAGTGCTTGACAATACTTCTAGTAGCAAAAAATTGTACTTATAATTCCTCTTTTGTGGACACGTTCTCGAAAATTAGCAAAGGTAACAGCTGAGACTAAATTTACTCAAAAAGAATGAACGTATTGAGTGTGTGCATTAACAGGGAACCACTCAATAACACGATGATTGCATTTGCCAACTGTCGACTGAATTCAATCCCTTCCATATCATACAATAGTTTGTTTTAGAATTTGCGGTCATGGTAGGCTGAATGCTTTTACTTGCGCAAACTTTCAGTTGAGGAGAAAGTTTACTCAATTCAAAAAACTTCCGTGAAAAATTTACACCATGTTCTGCAAAGTTAACCAAATTTCGTTGCATCCTTCCTTTACACGAAAAAGCTGCGTCATCAAAAATTTCGACGTACTGTTATTGAAGAGAAAGAACGCTTATATAACTGCCTCGAGGAAAAAACCGCCAATATCATACGCAACCATGTAAAGGCAAAACATCTAATCGAGTTTATACAAGCGTCATAAACACGAAGTATAGCTAAAGTACATAATGCATGACATGACCTTCTACTTGAATCGAATTGTTTGCTTATAAATGTCAAGCCCAACAGCTATCTTGAAGAATACACATATTTCTCGAGTAGCTAATCGCGAGAGCGTACACCATTATCAAGAGGTTATGAGAAAGACTCTAACATGTTTGGAAGTATAGTAGAAAAATTATGATTTGTTTTTGTTTTACAGTTTGGTTATATGCCTCAATATTCTCTATTTGTCTTCAAACTTTTGGATAAAAGTACTGAAAACAGTCATTCTTTCAGCTATGTGCAAACCAGGGGCGGTCAGGGTTTCTGTCTGGTTAAGGTCCGCGCAATCCGAAAATTCTCTTGGGATGCTTCCCAGAATTTTTGTCGACCCATAACCCCAAAATTTCAAAAAACAGTGCATGGTGCGCCCCCGGAAACTTTTTACAACGCTAATTTGGACTTTCAAAAAACTCATAAATTATTTCAACTATGTGCAAGTATTAGCAAGTCATTTGCCCATTTTTAAAGCTTATGAAGTAACATTAATTGATTTCGCAACGCATTCTCGGGGAGAGGAGGAGGGGTGGGGGAGAGGGGTGGGGGAGAAGGGGATGCTACAAACTTAAGTCACATGCGCTAAAGGATTTTTTGCAGTTTTACACAAAAATTAATTCTCATATAGTCAACAAGTAGTAAGTACTAGTTATCCTTGTTATGCATCCGTAGGATTAGCTCAGGTCCTGATAGAATCCCATTCGTTCTATGGTGTGACGATTAATAACTACTGAAATACGCACGAGCGTCTCGTGGATGCTTTGATAATCTTTTTTCACCATCTGTTTGTGCTTTCATCCTTTTTGCCGTTGATAAATGTCATTCAGAAGACGTTTGTTGCTACAATACTATAGTTCTTTTACCACTTGTACTCTTACACCGCCGCCTACGTGGCTCTGACACCGATGTCGAAAAACTTCTGGCCAAACGTCAGAACCTCGCCCAGCTCGGGTTCGCCTTAATTTTGATGATTACGCACGTCTGGCCAATTTGCTCTTTGTAATTCGCCGACAGGTTCGGGTCAGAGCTGAGGTGTGATCCATCATATGTCACAGTTGGAATGCTCATAGCTGAGAGAAGCGTAAGAGAATCATAAGTCGATCTCATGGTCTCGCACGGAAAGAAAATGTATGTTGGTACTTCAATTATTTTTGATTACAATAACACTGTAGTCAAATCAGCGCTTTATATTTTGCAGGACAAAAAACATAGAATATATGATATCACATTTGAAAGAACCATTAAAAGTTGTTTTGCGGAGACAAAATTTTATCAGCTCATTAAATTGCACTCCGACATACCGCAACAATAGAACAAATTCAAAAAGATTTTCTTGAATGGATTGCATCAGCGCACTAACAAGGGAATGGTCAGAAATCGAAGTGGCCATTCCAGACAAGCTGCATAGCGTTAGATGCAGCATGAAGCGCTGACTCTAAATCTGTCTTCTTTATCTGCTTATCGCTTTTCTGGACGAAGTTATAAGCTATTAAAGATCATTAAATTGCTTAGAAATTATGCGTGAAAATGAAAACTTAGCCTTACAGAGCCTTGTTTGCCTCAATGCCGGGCCAAAACATGCAGCTAGCTTACTTAAAATTTTTGAAGCCAGAAGCCGAGCTAAAAGTGCAACAATGTGCTCAATTTCGCTGTTTTTATGTATGATTTTTTCACAATAAAACCGCTTGCAGCTTCGTCCACAGAAGCGGGAAGCAGATAGGGAAGACAGATTCGAAGTCAGCGTTTTATACTGCATCGAATGATATACAGCTTGTTTGGTTTGGCCACTTCGACTTCTGACCATTCTCCCTTGTAAGTTCATTTTTTGTTTTTTAGCGAGTACTTTGTTTGAAAATGCAGCAGCAGCGAAATCGCACTTAATTTATCGTGATTACATTTGTAGACTTTTTTCAAAAGCATCACCTCGCAAAAAATTTTTACAAGCTGGGATTGCAGGGCATATTCAGTACCATTCAGCTTTTGCATACTTTTTATAATTTTTAGAGATTTTCATTTCCCTTCAACTAATGAAGTGGTTTAATTCATGTAAATTGAAGAAAGGAAGTCTAGCGCTTTCTGATAGTGTTTGATTCAATATTTTTAGTTAGCTTATCACAAAACAAAATGTACTTCATTTGATTGGCCTCCAAAATTTCTAGAACCTCTACTGGCATCTGAATTCAGTTTCGGTTCTTGCTCTTTACCTAAAATAAATTCTGACGGGGTGTTGTCCATACAAAACATCTGTAAGGTGAAGTTCTCACAATTTTTAAGACTTATGCATCCAAATGCAGTATGTAAGGTTTTGCTTTACTTTTTAGTTAGTGTTTTTGAAACTTTTGTTTGTTCTCATGCTATCAGTATTCGATGCCTGCATAAGTGATGAAATTTGACTCGCTTCTATTCCATTCTGGCAGTGTTTCAGCACTAATTGTCATTTCATTTTATACAGACGCAGAAATGCAAGTCGTATTTAATTCTTTCGAAGAAAAAACTGCTGAAAGCTGCTGCGTAAATGATTAAGGGATAGAAAGTGCAACTGTTGTAACCGCTGGTTCCTCTAATTAATCTTCTTGCAACTTACTCCAGCCCTGAGTGAGTGCAGTGAGTGCCACCATCCATCTGCTCCAAACCTCTGCAAACATCAAAAGGGGTTTGACGCTGCCAGACCTTGTGTCCTGTAGTTTATTTTCTTAATCACGTAGATGTCACTGGCAGGATCGCCGTCATCAGAGAATAAACACTCACATTAGCCATGCGAATTAACGACGTTGTGCAGATGACAGCAGCACGGCCAGTAGAGTCAGAGTCGTTTCGTTTTACAAGTGTGGCTAATTCACTTGCATTCCTCTTTACGAGGGCAAGGAAATTTTTTTGTGAAGTATTAGCCTGAAATTGATTTTGCTCGTTTATGAAAGTTTGTAGAAATTTTACAAATGATTTTACGTGCTTGTATGATATCAGTAGAAAGAGCAGTTTATAAAATAAATTTAGATAGTTGACTCTTTCTGGACATTGTTTATTTTTGTGAAATATTGCAGAAAAGTGTAATACCCTTCTGGAAGGATCATGCTTTAAGGGAACAAAGGTTGAGTATAGAATGTGAACTGGTAGCATACACTCGAGTTCGTAATTCAAAGCCGTAACAGGGCCACAGATGATTGAATTAAAAAGATTGCGAGAAAATTTCCTTTTTTGCAGAAATGAGTACAGAATTTATGCGCACACCCACTTATATATCTCTTTTCCTTTCCCCTGTTTAGCATATCTGGTATGCGGTCGATAAATATTTTATGAACCCATACATACCTATGTACCTACTCGTCTTTTTCAATTAGCTCTATTTTGACCCACCTTTGAATGCAAATGAATAACGGAGATTGGGAAATATAAATTTAGAATAAACAGATTTTTAGAAGAATAGCCATTTACATAAGGGCATAATATTCTTTTGCATTGACGAAAACTTCAATAGATATTTTCTCCATGCTTACACATTTTCTTAAGTAATACGCTATAAAGCATGCTACAAAAGCGGTACGACGCAAACTACAGTTCAATCGATATCTAATTACGAGAAACAGAAGTTAGAAGACAAAGAAAAGTCATCTAGTGTCCAGGTCCAGCTGAATTTAGCTAGGAAAAATTTTAAGCACTAAGGCTTTATACAATACCGCTCACAAAACGTGCGGAATTTTCGTGAAAGCCGCGGATTTTTTTAAAATCCGAAACCGCGAATCCCTGGAGATGGCGCGCAGTTCCAGAAATTTTTGGCGGAAATATGCGGTATTCATTGAAATTTTGCACGTTTTGATATTGTATGTGACAGTAGGAATTCAAAACTTGCTGCGATAAAATCTTAGCTATTCAGCATCCATTCTTACAGCTATTCACAGGGTTCATGGGGTTATTCGTTCGTCAAAACGAATTCATTTCTTAACCTAACTATAGGGATTAACGTTATGAAGTTACTATTTTTAGGGAAGCAAGTAGGAAGACCCGAGCGATCACGTGGGATCGCTGGGCCTTTGTTGTGCTCATCAAACACCTTCCGAAGCCGTGCAGATCGTTGCATAATCGCTGCAGGTTAACCTTGCCAGAGCACACTCGGGGCGAGTGGGCGGGAGTGAGTAGACAGCCGCGAAGGCGGTGCTCGCATTCGGCCGAGATCATGCCGCTGACAGGCTGGCCACCCCACCTCTTACCCGTTTTATTCTACTGTTCTTACCTGCTCGATCCTTCAGCTGCCAACGAACAGTCGCTTATTGACAGTGAGTTTTTGTTTCTTCGCGTTTTCCGCAAAATTTGCACTATTCACTTTGACGATTTTTTCGCGCATTTCTTGATGGGAATAATCCGCAGCACCCCACAGAACTCATAGCTTTGCACTTTTGCTTTAGCCAAAAAAATCGAGTGAATGGCATCCTTTTGAGATTAGTGTAAATTAGACTCTTTGCTTATTATTAAGTGCAAATTTGTTCCTCTCTGTATTATTCTCAGCTTCAAAATCGTTTACGTTTTTCCTATCCTTTTGCAAAGCCATTGTACACAATTGCAACTCAAAATGCCCTTATCGCACCTTTCCTATCCACTACCTCTCAATGTCCAGCAAGGTATCACATTTCGGCTCCCCGTGAGAGAGAGAGAGGTTATAATTTCGCCGGCAGCCCTTGAGAGCCTACCTGCAATGGAGAAAGAGCTAGACTCCACTCTTGAACATGAGCTGCTGTTAGCCTAATGCGGTTAGGCTGTTTGGGTTCGTCTTAATTTGGTAATTGCACTATGGGCATTAATTACGGTCTTTGACTCAACGAGGGCCATTGGGCTGGCGCGAAAATTGTAGTGAACTGAGATGTTGTCAGGAATGGTCAGCAATCTGGGCCCATTCTATGATTAGAAGGGAAAGAAACAATAGGAAACTCGTCACAGAATAAATTTGAAGAAAACTGCTCCTCTTTTAAAACAAAAGAAGAATTTCAGTATTTCATTTCAAAATTTCGCTCCAAGATGGAATGAATTTCGCAAATTTTTCTAACAAGTTTCTTCAAATACATTCTAGGCCCTCTCCCATTATTGGGTAGTCTTGGAAAGAGCCTAGAACTGAAAACTCCGTCTAAGGAAGGAACAAAATGCGAGTATCAATGGACATTGCTTTCTCCTTTTTCTTATCAACATTTTTTGGCCAGGAAAACTCATTATTTTTTTCTGAAAAATTGTGTATGATTTTTTTCAAGCACTCAGTCGTCTACGAGCAAAAATAGGTAGGTTCTTCACGAAGCATGTACTAGAAAGCTGGCTGACTGATTGCTTGCGCTTTTACAGCTAAAGGAGATGCGTTGCTAGGCTGCTATGTGGAATTGTGTGTGATTGCTGAGCTATGCTTATGAAATTAAATTGAACGAATGTCTTTTTTTGGAAGCAGCAGGTGCGTTGCTCGCTTCACAAACGGAATGCCTATAATCGAACCGCTAGAAGAGCCTCTATGACACGTCCCATAATTCGAATTTTTAGCATTTTCAGCATTTCTCAATAGTATCCACTTTTAGACTCCCCATATGGCAAGCAGTATCGTTTTTCCATCTCTTTTCGTTTACATAATGCTTCTTAGCCATTGCGTCTAAGCCTGATATTCAATTCCACGTAGGTTTTTTGCCAATAAAGGACAGTAGAAATATTTATCTTTGGCGTGACTTCCGCACAATTTCATCGCAAAGCAATGAGTGAAGACTTCGAGGCTGGATTTTATCTCTCATCGGGCATGAGGAAATCATATGTAAGGTTCTGCAAATGCTTGCAAAGTTTGCAAGAAATGGGTACTAAGGAACTTTTACGACTTTCAGAATGTAATGTTGTATTCGGCTTTGTGTAAAGCTTGGAATGGATACTTGGAGGGAGAGTTATTCACTCTAACTTGTAGGTACAATGAATCCAAAATATGGGGCTTCATTAGTGAAGTAATTGATCTCAAACTCACTCCAAAAATTCAAATGGGCTTTGCGGATCATTTTCTCATATTATGAGCGCATAAAGTTCGCAAAAAAGATTACGTACTGTAGTTTCCATTTCTTAGAATATGAAACAAATGGATGAAGCTTCACTTATATGACAGGCGCTTTTCCATCCCTTTGGTCCATGCTCTCAACAAGTGTTCATTGGAATGCGTTTGCGGGGTGTAGTAAATGTGATCTTTCGCTGTTAAAGGGATCCTAAGTTTCAGGCGTTCAAGGAGGCTCTCATTCCTATAAAACTCAGATTCTAAAAGAAGTTGTAACATTGCGATATATGCTTGAAAAAATAAGTTGAAAAAATTACCGTAATCATCTTGAGTTTGTGAGTTAAAAGCCGTTATGTATCATATATAAAATACGTATTGAGTGAGGTACGTGGAAATTAGACAAGTAGTTTATTTTTCTTGTTCTTTCTTCTTTTCTTGCCTTAGTTTTGTTTAAGGTATCATCGTTTTGTATCCTGATGTGTGTGAATGCACACACCTTCCATATTGCACCAACCTGTCCTCGGAGATTTTTGCACACAGGTTCAGATGAATGCTTCGTTTATTACTTGAAGAACAAAAACTGCTGAAGACCACTTGTCATGAAAAATTTCGTTCTCATAACCAGCAATATTAGCGATGATATGTGCAAAATGGTTTATGCATATTCGCACTACTAATTGTATGATACAACACATTTCGATTGTATTTCAGAGGACTACGTTCACATAGTATAAAAAACAAGCTCAAAACAATAGAATGCATGGAAAATTTCTAATATTCGAAACGATGTTGCAGATCTTATAAATACGCTTTCCTTTGTTCAATATGACTGTATCCTTCCACGAAATTTGAGCAGCATGGGCCACTTAGAAAAGCCTGTTTGTGAAATTTCTTCGATTTTTTCATTCCAGGTTTGATGGATGCGTCGCTTCGCTCACACCGAGTCCAGGCGTGCGACGGCGAAAAAGTCACACTGCACTGCCCTCGAAACACTCATATAATGATAGAAACCGGGTACGTTTCCCTTGCCGGGCACACTGCCGTAGTACACGGGGCGTTTTTTCGTGGCGAGACGCGCAGAGGGTTTTTTGGATCCGCCATTATCAAAAGCTGTGCTGAAGCTGAGGCAATTTCTACGTTCCTGGCAAGCATGCGCGTTTCTTGCAACGTTTTAGTACACTTGAAAAGGGCGGCACGCGTGCTGCTATCTTCAAACTTCACAACAGTTCAAATTTCCTAGGTCTTTTTTCGCCTACAGTATATATCACAAGAACGATCTTCTCCAATTACAGCCACTTCGAGACTTTTTCGGGAAGAGAAACAAAGAATTCCCAAAGTGTATAGATGTGCTGCTTATTATGCCCATAAACACTACTTTTTTGGCCCTTATACGTCTACTTTCTGTTCGCTCAAAACTCTGCATACAAGAAAAGACCATCAACAGCATCTCTCAAGAGCTCAAGTAAAAAGGCAAGATTCCAACTGCAAAGTGGCTCGTAGAGACTTGAGAAGCAGCAATCGATCATTTTGAGAATAGAGCAGTTATGTAGTTTTTGTCAGACCAAATTATCCAGCATCAACAGACCCCCAAAACCTGATGGTCCGTGAGATCGAATGGAGCTAATGCACGTTCTCTATACATTGGTCCTGGTTTCAATGAAGGAGATAGGATAAATGGGATAGTAATCTGAGCCCGTCAATTTAGGTTTTATGGACGAGTGGTGCCAGAGTCACAGCTTTGTCCTGGACGAATACCGGGAAGAAAAGGCTATGATGCGACATGTGATGTCATTCAAGCAAAATCGGTGAGTAATTTGAGAGATCTGACAAAAAGATATTGGGTCTTTTGTTGAAAACAAGCTCAGCATGGCATCATCTCGGTCAATATTGCATTCGATTTCATCAGATTTGAATAATTTGGACTACATCATTTTGAGAAAAAAACTTGGTGTTTTGCAAGCCGTGCAAGAGTTGCACTTCATATTAGATTTCAAAATTTCGGAAACTGACACTCACTTGATGAGAAATTGCTAGTTTTTGAATAATTGTGATCCTAAGTCATCAAATTTCACTTATATATGGACAAAGGAATGACTTCAAGAGACTTCTGAACTCACACAAGCATTCAATCTTTCAGTTTTCAAATGCAACTAATAAATTGCAATTTCTTGAGCAATAGGAATGAAACCGAAAGCATAACATTGGCAGTTCAGAAAATTTTCGCGGAGGGAGCGCGAGCGTTAGCCACTTCTCGCGAAAAATTTTGGGATGCTTTCCAAAATTTTTGCGGACCTGAGAGTGAAATCAAAAAGTGACAGTAGCTATGCGAAAAATTCCACAAAGATTTGAATGTCATGAAAGTTAAGTTTGAAATTTTTGCAGATGAAAAAAGTCACATTTGCAGTTTTTGAACTCATGTATTTTATCTGAAAATTCTTTTCCGATGCTGATAGTCAGTTTTACGAACATATGGCATTTTTACATCTAATAAATTTTGCTTGATAGAATATATTTGAAAACTTTAATACAGAAAGGTCGATAATGATGATATTTCATGATTAGCATGACTATAGGGCGTGAGGTTTCCGAAAGAGCATCTTCGACCACAAATCTAACTTCATTGTGCTTTTATTGTTTGTGTGTGAGCATATGGGGAATTCATTTTCACGCATTAGCTCTGCTTTTTTTTCCAAAATTCCTTTGCTCTTGGTCATTCCTTTATGGCATCTTTCACTGCATTAGTTATCTTCATACAGCTGAGAACACAACAAATGCCCTGCTTGCATTCTGAGCTTACACTCTTTGACCTCAATTACGCGATCGCATAGCGTCTCATGTGCCATTACACCGCTTACGCTCACAACAATTTCCGAGCCATGTACGGTGTTCGCCAAGCTTCATCCGCATCTGCAACGCGGATGTGTCCGGCGCGGATTAGTGCGCGGCACATTTGCCGAAGAAATCCACATCTTTTCAAATGCTGTCGAGCGAAAATTAGATGTGCACTCAAGGCCCGGCGATAATGTTCCCCATTGCGTACCTATTCACAAGAGCTTAGCGATGAGTAGAAAGGCGCACGGCTCGCGATCCACGGCACTTTTATCCGTACTAGGGCTGTGATACGATTCCTCTATCTCAACGAACGGCTCTCACGTGCTGCTCTACGCGCTGAAATGTCTCGCTTAGTTTTTCTTAGCGAGGCTGTTCCGGCACTTATTCACCTGCGACGGATGTGCCGAGTGCAAAGGAAAAGAGTGGAGAAAAAACTGTCAGTGCAGTCCATCAACTCACCTAACGACCCACCACAGAGCTGCTAAATTTTAGTAAATTTGGAAAAAAGATAGAGTCTAAATAGTATAAAAAACGAGAGGTTATAAAAGAGCAGGCGTAGGGTGCTCTGTCAAAAGCTATAAGGCAGGTGATCATTCATAAATGTTCAAAAAATATTATTGATCGACAATTGACTATAGTTATCTCTAGACTGATCTATAATTTTTTTGCTGCAATTTTTTGCGGACCCACATACAGGGTGTCCCAAAAAAATGTGCCTACTGTTTGATTGTAAATAACTCTCTTGTAATGAAGTCTATCGAGAAGCTTTAGGTACCGATCTGTAGGGCGAAGCTAAACTTAGATTAACAGTATGGAGCGAATCATCTGTCTCTCTTCATTACCGTAGGATTACGGTACGAAATTCGACAAAGATTTTAGGCCATTGGAGGCTATAATTTTCCTCGGAACAAAACCAAACAAGCCAAAAACTCTCATACTACAGTAATAAGAGCAGCTCATTTCGAATCTGAAATTCCCATTTTACTGCGATGCTTCTTTTCAGAGTTATACCCGGTAAATCGTAATAACTCAATTCCCAGCATTTGTCAAAAATGTAATTACACCTTTAAAAAAGCTGAAAACACTCGTAAAAAGTTGTTAGGTGGAATTATCATGTGAGAAAACACTAGTACACGTTTTTTCAGATTTCTTGAAGAGAATTTTGTTAGGTGGTATATTTCACACTGGTTTCATATGCTGCAAGTTCGTACCGTAATTTTACAGTAATGAAAAGCGATAGATGATTCGCTCCATACCGTAAATCTAAGTTTAACCTCGCTCTACAAAACGGTACCTGAAGCTTCTCGAAACACTTCATTACAAGAGAGTTCTTTGCAATCAAACAGTAGGCACATTTTTTTGGGACACCCTGTATCCTGATGAGGAAACCCGAAATACAGATTATATCGAGGTAGTGGTTCAAAATATTTTCTCTGGGGGGGAGGGGGTGGAGACAAGACATTTTCTCAATGAAAGAGCATGGAATTACAGGCCCCCTCCGACAAATTTCTTTAGGGTCTGTAACCCTTAGATTTGGAGAAAAGTAGGCGTGGCGGCGGCCAAACCTATAAATTCCCTTATATACAGGATTAATCAGATTTCTACAATATTCAAAAGAAGTTTTAGTTAAATGTTTCCCATGTCTTGGAATGTGGTTGGCATACAAAAATTATTACTGATAAACTATTTTTATTAATCTAAAGTAAAAGCGAAAGAGTTGCGCAATTGTTACACAACATTTCTGATGATACCCATTCCTGGAATGGGGGAGGGGGGCCATCGAGCATTAAAAAACAAGGTAACTTCCCAAATCATCCTAATATCAGTCTTTTGCAGCGTTTATCGGAATTGTGCGACAAAAAGCGCAAATGCACCGTTTACGTTGACACGACCACATTCGAAGACGATCCATGTCCTTCGACATCCAAGTACTTGCAGATGAGCTACAAATGCCGGCCAAGTGAGTTCCCATCCAGCACTTTTAAGACACCCACCATCCATGTGTTAATCTGCCTTTCGCCAACGTTCCCTTGTCCATTATTAATGAGATTTCGTAATTGATTTGGATTAATTGAACTGCGCCAGTGGAGCGAGCGCCTAATTAGCGCTGCGAGTCACCAGAAGGATGCTTGAGGGCTTCGCCGAGGCGTTTTATGGCTTGAGCTCAGCGTTTCTTTACAGTACTCTTCGACGGCGAGTCGTTTTGCGAGGGAACGGAAATGCAGCTCGAATGTCGAGAGGGCCGACGACTGGCCATGTATTCGGCCATTTACGGACGTAGCTCGAAAGGCCAAGCAGCGCATTGCCCGGCTCCGGTTCACTTTGGAAGAGGTTGGGTGAGCTTCTCTTGGAGAAAAATGGGAAAATAACGAGCTGTGAAGTTATTGCACCGCTACCCAACGACAATTTTAGAGGAGAAATATGGAGAGGTGTGGAAAATGGATGGTCTAATATTGTTGTAGTAGCTGATAAGTTTTGTTTGAGAGGGGATATAGCGTCTCTCTGCCAATAAAACTTCGGGGAGCAAAACACGATATTATGCATTCTATGGCCAATTTTTGTGCGCAAATATTGCCAGCATCACAGGCGTAGCAATCTTTTCCGCCTAAGTGTTGTCGCCACTGCAGGGCACTAAGATGATAAAGCTAAAATATCCGCAAAATATTGTATTCTTGCGTTGCTTCCCTTTCCATCAATGTCCTCATGTGCATTGTTGAATATAAGCCCCTCAATCTCAACAGCCAAGCTAAAATTTCGAAAAAAACTAGATGTTATTTCACAAAAAATCGGTTTTCTTCCATTTTTGCTTCCTTCAAATTCGTTTGGTCTTTTACTCGAATGGAAAAATCAGGCTTGTCTACGTGTTTCTTTGATTTCTCAAATCCTTGTGTTTTTGTCTGAAGAGGATTCTTTTAAGCTTTCTGTTGCTGAAGTGCTTATCAAGTTCCTTGTACTTGAAATCTCTTGATACTCTGCAAACTATAGAATAAGCAGCGTCTAGTTTATTCACTGCGTCACTTCTCGATTAGATTTCTGAGCAGGGCTTGGCACAGCTGGCACCGGGTCAAGCTGGATACCATTTTTGGGATAGAACAAAAATTGCGACTTTTTTAGTCGACGTTGCTTTTCTGAGGGTTTTTTACGTCTAAGGTTTAGGCTCATAGAGGACTTCGTACGAAATTTTCAAGACCAAAGAGAACTTCATTTTGAAATTATCCTGGTGCCAGCTCGCGCCGAGCCCTGTTTCTAAGTATTCGTTTTTCTGCGATGCGTACGTCAAAATCGTGGGAACGCTATATGGGAGGGGGGGGGGGGGCGAAGAGGGGAGGATTGGATAGCCTAGCCTGAGGGTATACTGCTGCCGTTGACCAGGGGAGTGCAATAATTGTCGAGTGTGTCCCTGGAGAGGCCAGTCGTATTCGATTGTGTTAAGAGCCTGGCTAATGATATGTCAGCAGCGTAGTCGACGAGCCAACGAATGGGCTTTATTGCAATTTTGAGATGAATGGGCCCGTGGGTCCCTTTGAGACGATGCGTCATTTCTCGATAGTGAAACGATTGAACATTGAAGGAATTAATTTTAGACTGCACGAGGGATGTGCTCCCCATCCTGCTCACCAAGTGCCACGCTCAGTCAGGGTGTTCGTTGACAGTCAACTCTGATGTGCTCGGCTCTCCTTGTCCAAAGGATGTTCCCTCCTATCTTAATATACTTTTCATGTGTGGTAGGTAGATCATTTATGTTTTGCTTTTTAGGAATGTTAGCGGTAAACAGTAGTTTATTTACAGTCAATGAAGAAGTCTTCAACGAGGACGCAATCAAGGGAGATTTTGAGTTTTTGCAAAAATTTATCAAGGTATGCTACCTTGCAGGCTTTGCTAACGAAAATGCCACAAGAAATTTCGATACAAACGAGAATTTCCAGTACTTGCCAATGTGCTCCTATTTGCAGTTGACCAAGAATTATTTTGGAAATTATTTCTAGTAGCTTGCAAACGTTTCTTCCAATTTGCGATTGGTTTCGAAGTATGCAAAGCAAACTTTACTCTTTTAGGAAATGGAACAGACTACTGCTGGTCCTTTACCTGACGACGGCTGGGAAAAGCTGAGTGAGAAGCATATCGAAGCTGAACCCAAGATCCCCGCTCCTGCTCTGTCACCAACAAGACCTGAGCCATTGTTTAACAATGACGGTGAGCATTTAGCTTCAGAACGCATTATAAGCAAATGAAATGCATCAATGGAGCTTATATGTTTGAAAAATTCTTTTTATCCACGCAAAAAGCTTTGATTTGACTATGTAAGATAAACGAAAATTCTTTTTCAAAGTTGTTATAGCCGGCTACGTCACCGAGGACCGCTACAGTCTTTCGCAGGGAACAAGCAAAAATGGTGGTCCTGGAGAAGATGAACGGGAACTTACGGAGACGGTAGAAGCGAATCTGGTCGGAATCACCCACGATCTCATGATTGCCATCAGCTTCATCAAACGTGAGTTTGGCATACAAAATCTTTCTCAGATAGAAGAAAACGACAGCACAGAATTTTGAACTCATAATTTTGTCCGATGCTCTGCATCGTCTATCAATCTTATTACTACTCGTATTCGGAAGAGAAATGCTTTGTAGAGAGCAAATCTAATTGTCTTCAGTCGCTATGGCAATATTTCCTCCTAGATGACGATTGCACTTTTTCGGAGAGCTATCAAACTATTATATAGACTATACATCATTGCACTAAGAAAAAAAAACTCCTTCTTTGGGACGCCTACAAATTCTGCTGGAACAAAGGACTTCTTTATGTTTTTTTTGATACTTTTAGAGAAGGTAGACTGCACCAGAATAAACTAAAGCTCAAGCTCTCCCACTCGTCTCGAATAATAAATTGGTTTTTGAACTCTGTATTCAAAAATCGTAAGCATCATTCGTTGTCTCATATGCTCCGCCTTACCCTTCAGATTTAAAAACGCGTAACCTTGACGAAGAGGAAGGAGTCTATTCCGGTTTGATACAAATTTACCCTGACATCTCCCACTTCTTGTCGCAGTTGAGTAGGAACTTGAGATGACCATAAGAAATTGAAGGTTGAAGAGAGGAATTGTGGGACGATTATCCCATCGTAAAGCAATAGTCTCAGTCTGCATCCAGTCTGTATTTTCGTAAGCAAAATTACTGTCAGTTGTTGTACCCTATCAATTCTTTTTTTCACTAATTTTTTTTCTGCGGTTTAAGACGATAGAATCTCAATTTACCAGAAAATTATTCAGAAAAAGAACTCATAAAATTGCAGTTCCAAAGCTTCCTTTTTGTGTAATATTTCCTCAAAGTATAAAAAATACAGTATCTCTTGATGTGTATTTTATACGTTTATTCTTCAAAAATTATTAGTAATATTAAACGCTCAAAAAATGCGAACTATAAACCAGTAAACTAAGTAGAGTTAAGAATCAACAACAAAAACAGAAGAGAAGCAATAGAATTTGAAACCATCCGACGATGTCATCTTCATCGTCTGACGAGATTCTGCATTTTTGAAGCCCATAATGAATCAGCTTTGTCTTGAGAGCAGACTAAATCTCTGAGCAATTTTTCGATTTTTCAGAAAACAAAGAAAAAGCTCTGATATGCGTGATCTTATCAGCCTCACTTGCACTGATTCTGCTCTTGATCGCCTGTATTCTGCAGCAGTTTTGCGGTGGTCGACGGAAGGACAAGCGTGTCCCTTACTCCATCGAACGGAGTCAGCTGATCGCGAAGAGTAACCCAAGTGAGTTTTGCATTCGAACGGGGTCAGTTGCTGGATTTCGGCCGTGAAAGTGGGACCGTCTCTATCGCTGAATAAATCAGCGCTCGTTTGGCTGACAAAAGTCTGTTGCTCGCACTGGCCATTCGCGATTTTTACTACGCGTTTTATGACTGTTGCGCAACATGGTTTTATGGAAACTGCTCCCACCTTCGGGTTACTGTGACGGGGACGCGTTCGAACACCTGACAGGGTGTTGAACGTATTTGAGGGATGTGCTATTTCGGGTCGAACAGCGCCTACACATTCGCATTTGTTGAGTAAAATTCTTCTTGTTTTTTTAGCCCCTAGCTACCAACCTCTTTAGTTCTTGCTCACTTAGCTCGCTCAAGAAGAGCCACAAAAAGCTTTAGATTAGAGCAAACATCCCTCAAAATGTGCCCGGTTTTGCTCAAATTTTTCAAAAGGGCGGTGATACACCGGCAGCGGTTGCCCAAGATCCTGAAGACGATGAAAAAGTTGGAATATACGAGGCAAAAAAACTGTATTATGTCATACTTTCTCAAAACAACAACAAATAGATAGTGTGGGCCTTAAATCGATTTATCGATTAATACTTTTTGTGTTACTAGCCTGACGCAATGTTACAAAGTGAGGAAACCGAGGAAAGCGAGTGAAATTATCAAAAGTTCTGAACTTTTTGATTCTGGCTAGCTAGACAAAAAACTGATGATATTGGTCGGTTCGTAAGTTGAACGAAAATATTGAAAATTCTCAAAAATGTCAAAAAAGAACTCCCTAATTATATACAGATCCCTGTAACAAAAGAATGTATCCTTATTAGAAATTATTCTGCACAAAAATCGAAAAACTGTTGAGTAGGAAAGGATACCTTGTCGGGAAAACGCTGAAATATTAACTATTCATATACTTCCAATTAGCGCGTAATCCTCCTGGGAGTCTCGTAGATCAAATTAAGAGCCTGATGGGATTCTTGGCATTGTGGCGATTGAAATATTTTCAGGAGATACTATTTAGTAGGGGTTTTCTTATCAGCTTGTATCTTCGTAATATGCCACCACTGAAGTTTGTTGTTCAAAAAACCTACTTTATAAGAACCGTCGGAAAGTGCAACTCATCAATAGCGTGTTGAACGAATTCCTTGAAATTAAAAGCTGCAATTTCCCAAAAAATCTGCTGTAAAACTCGCCAAACAACATCATTTTGTACCCGGCTGTTTATTCAGTTGCCAAAGATCGCTGATAGTATTCTACTGCACAAGACTTCTGATCTTGCATTCTCCAAGAAATGCTTCAGACTTTCTCACATTACCGGCGAGCCATTTTTGTTGTGCTGTAAAATGTATTGTCAACAACATTCCCGAATGCGTATATCACATTTCAAGTAGCAAAACAGGCAGCGTCCAAAATTACACTGATGCTCCCGTGTGTTCTAGTTAGAAAAAAGGTAACTGGCCTGTAATCCTTACAGCGTAGCAGTAAAGTATTTAAGGCGGGAATTTTTGAGTTTTGGTTTGCGACAGTGTGTATTTCGCAACTCAGTTTTTTAGTTACACTCAATTTTATAATGAAAAATGTATATTTCTAGAATCAAAACTGATTGCTGAAGGAGGGCAGATTGGATTATTTGATTTTGGCATTTAAATGGTCAGGTGCCCGTTATAATTCTTTTGTGGGTTAATAATACTTTTGCGGTGCCAATGACACTTGCACGAGAAAGAAAATGGTTGAGTGTGCATTTTCAAATCTTCTCTTCCAAAATCATACTTAAAGTTTGTTTGCGACACGAGAACTCTATATTGACAATGAATCAAAATTATAAATCGGTCTGCTGATATAGGAAAGCCACTGCTAAGCAAGCTGTTCATCATAAGTTTACTAAACAACTATCGCGATACATTCTAACATTCTGAGAGTTATTAAGCTGGTCCATAAGTCCTGCTCTATAACTTTTTTAAAAACACCAGCAAGAACTCCTTCTTCATTATACTTGGAAGAAAAGAGCATTAATGGCATATTACGAAGATTCATGCTAATGGAAAGACGCAGTCAAATCGCATTTTTGTGAATTGTAGTTGTAAAAATGCTAAAAAACCAAGAAAATCTTATCCCACTTTTGATTGTGCCGTTTTACGACTTATTCTTCATATCATGAGAAGGATTTGTGCTGATCTGATGTGATTACAGATAGTTCGGTTTCTGAGCCCTATTTACTCGATATAAAAGTTTTACTTTGAGATAATTTTCTACATGCATGATGGAGCCTAGAATTTATTATTTGCAAAAAAGTAAGGCGAGGATGTGTTCACCCTATTTCAATATGGATTTTTCATATTTTTGGTGCAGAGCACGTGGACCAATTTGATATCCTGAATCTATTCTTAGCTTAGTCATCTGCTCAAAGATCACAGACAGAGTCTAATTAGTCGGGGCTATGTAGTCTCCGCATCCCGGTGGTTCCAGGTGAAAAAGAGCATGTCGAGCAGCTGGCAATCGTGTCGAAGGTGCTGTTGATTAATGACGATCGACGGCCACTATTTTCGCTGTGTGTAAACCCCATTTACAACTGAATTTCGTTGTTTTGCAGTTCTCGACGGGCCCCCGTCGTTGATGGAAATGGGCGACTTCGAGTCGGAGACGTTTCTTCGCTACTCGTTGTCGACACCGCCGCGCTCAGGGCACTACGACTTCTAGTCGCGAGACTGTCACGACATTCCGCACTTTCGATATCCCTCGACGATCTGTGATAGAACGAGTACCGATGTGTCGCCAAAGAAACTGGCGACATCTCTCACAAAGTAATCTCATTTCACCTCCAATCACTTATGCTCATTCATCTTTCAAACATGTTCCATATAGTTTTGTGTTTGTGTTGTACATAAATTTCCGGTCAAATAAATATTTGTAATTATCACATATATGAAATCATTCATCAGATAAGAAACAATATCAGACAGATGTCAGTCATACTGTAATCAAGCGAATCGAATTTGAAGACGACGAAAATTAATGGAGGCTGAGAATGAATCCGTTATCTTTCAACGGATCTTCCGTCGTTCCATGAGCTGCTAACCTGACAGATTTCAGCACCCCCACAGCTTTGACGTCCTTTTTGTGACTCTGAAAATACCCAGACGTAGGTCGAAAATCATTGTAAGTTGGGATTCTACCAACCTCAGCCATTACTTTCAGTTTCCATGTTCCTTCCGGGTTTTCACCCCAATGTGCTACGCTTACAAAAGGCCATTCTCGAAGGCCTTCCGATGAATCGTCGTTCTTTCGCGGATGAAGCAGTTGCACAGTAGTTCCTGATTTTTATAGGGTAATGCTTTTATTGACACAGAATGCCCAGACCTTACCTGAGGGGCTTGTGAGGAAAAGCGAGATTAATCCTCTGCGTGGGTGCTCAATAGTGATATCTATTTGTAAGCGTTCCAACCAATTTACTTCCACTGATGTCCCCTTACATCCATAAAAGGGCAAGTCAAGCACCAGAGGGAAGCCAGGATAGAATGTCCTGGAAAGAAAACTGGGAATCTGGCAATCTAAAATGACAAAAATAAGAACGTTTACGATATCTTTTTATATTTATTTTTCACGGTATTCGGTTTAGAGGCTAAAAAATATACCAGTGCGCTCATCGCTATTGCTTCAAGGGAATGGTCAGAAGTCGAAGTGACCAAACCAGAGAAGCTGTGTATCATTCGATGCAGTATAAAACGCTGACTTCGAATTTGTCTTCCTTATCTGCTTCCCGCATCTGTGGACGAAGCTACAAGCGGTTTTATTGTGAAAAAATCAACATAAAAACAGCGAAATCAAGCACATTGTTGCGCTTTTAGCTCAGCTTCTGGCTTCAAAAATTTTAAGTAAGCTAGCGGCATGTTTTGGCCCAGCATTGAGACGAGCGTGGCTCTGTACGGCTAAATTTTCAATTTCGTGCATAATTTCTTAGCAAAACAATGGTCTTTAATGGCTTATAGCTTCGTCCAGAAAAGCGATAAGCAGGTAAGGAAGACAGATTTAGAGTCAGCGCTTCAAGCTGCATCTAACGGTATGCAGCTTGTCTGGAATGGCCACTTCAATTTCTGACCATTCCCTTGTTAAATAAAATGCGTGTATAGCAAAGATTTGATCAATTCAGTGGACAATAGGACTGACAATGCGATTTTGAACTGAAGACTGCAAAGCGAATAAATCAACGAATGTGCTGACCCATTAGAAACTACCAGCTCCTTGGCGCAACTCGATAAAGGTCCAACTCGTTTCCATTTCGTGGCTGCTCTGGCCAATTTTTGTGCATTGAGCACACCATAACCGAGATATCTTGAAAACGGTAGTCCTGAACAAGCGTTTCTCAACTCACTTCTCCGCGTCCCCAGAATAATTGCATTTGCATACCTGCGCCATTGATGACCCATTGATCTGGTGAGCTCTTTACAAGGTTTTCTCTCTCACTTGTTCGAACAATGAGGTGCTGTATGTCTCTCTGTGTTAGAAGTGGGCTAAAAGAGTAGCCTATGACTCAGGTAAGTTTGTGGTCAACTCTACTTTGCCTGAAGCGCGAGAGCGAGTATTCCGGCACCGAGAGGAGCTGCTGCAGACGAACCAGAGAAATGGACGCATTTGTTGCCAACGTCCGTAGTCAACTGAAAGAAAGGGTCTTTCTTTATTTGAAGTATTCGCGAATGACTAGTAAAGATACCATTCCTTCGGTGGTTCTTCCCTCGGTTACGGCAGCCATCACTGCGCTACAGCCTTCCGCATACCATGGAGGAGACCCTGACGATGAAGCTACGCCCAGTGTAATCTGAAACCATTTCGTACATGGAAGAAAAATTTGCGAATTGAAAGTAACTTGGAATTTTGAGAGATTTTGTTGGAAGTGATTGTGCCTCACCGTGTGCAGGTTACTTGCATATCCATCCATGGCGCAGTCATCGTCATTCCGACCACCGTTGCCGCTAGCCCATACGTAAATCGAGCCAAGCCCACGACGACCCTTGAAGTTATGATGTGTAGTAACAAGTAGAAGAGAGTTGTTCGTGTGGCAAATAGTTTGTGTACTTGGTCGGAATGAAAATCACTATGATTCTTTCATTAGCTTCGTAGTTTTCGTGAACAAGTGTTATAGGATCCGTGGGGACTGTATGGAAGCACGAAATTTTGATGACTACGCAACTACTGCATAAGCTCTTGCGAAACCAAACTCATTTATAAGAAAGCATACCGCGAATAGATAAATTTGTTGGTGTCAAGTTTCTTTATGCTAATTATCCCAGAGCTTAAAAATTATGAAATTACCCCCGTTGTTCGTGTGAGGGGTAAAGTCGAGTAAGTTCCTTAGGTTAACAAATACGCAACTTGCAAATTTTCCACGATGTCGATGAAAGGTTACGAGCTTTTCACGTGTAGATTTATACAACTATTCAAGCTTCCTCAAATAACGAGTAAGACCAGCAAAACCCGAAGAAACACACGGCCTGTGAGTAATCTCATCCTCCAAAATCTACGGAACGGTGATTCAAAATTCGCTGAGGTTTCGATCTAGGCAAAAATGCAAACATTTTCAATTGTGATCGTAAAACAATCGCAACACTCTGCAGACGATTTTTTGATAAAAAAAGGAAGTAGAAGCAACACTGCGTAAATCGGTATTCACTAGTCTCTGGGCAAGTTCATTTTGAAATAATGAGCTAATTTAGTGAACGATATCCAAAGTACAGTAAGACATCAAACATACATGCATCGTACCGTACTCGAGCGCTTTTTGAGCAAGAGGTCCTGGCTTCTCGGCGGAGCAGCCATCGTCCTTTGGTCCCCAACTCACAGAGTAGATATCAATTTGATCATTTCTAAAAGGAATGCTCTGTTTTCTACGCTTCCGAGTTTGTTTTGGTATATACTTGAAAGCCAAGGAGTCTCCTTCAATGGCGTCGTTTAGGAATTGGCTTTCATCCAGAACTTTGAGCGCTAAAAGATGGAATAAAAAAGCAGTGTGTGAGCTTCAGCTTACGGTCTCATACTACCTGCTACTTTGGCTTTGAAAGCCACCCCAACTCCACATTTAGAGTTGTTAGCTGTCATAGCGATGATCCCTGCGCAGCGCGTTCCATGTCTTAAATGGTAGGATATCGCAAAACTGATCTTCTGTTTTTACTTCATTTTAGAGGTGACTGATGAAGTTGCGAGAATATTTGAGCCAACGTAAGCAACGTACAAAATTAACTTTGGGTTACTGATATCCTTGTCTCATTCTTCTCTCGCAAACTTCACAAAATGAATGAACTCACGTTTGATCACTTCCCAATTTAGGAAGCACGTCTGACTCCGTGTCCACAAAACTGTATGATATTCCAAGATCTACCGCTTGGCTCAGGTCATCATGTTGGTAGTCCACCCCATCATCCTCAAAAATTCTTTTCACTTCGACTCAACAATCAACTCAAGACTTACAAGCACCGCTACATTCACTCCTTCACCTGTCAACCCATCGGCCCATGCTTCAGTAATAGACATATTTGGCAGTGTTGACCACTAAAAGAATCATGGTTATGGGTCTCAGACTATACAATTTTTTATAGAGAGAGATCACGGAATATTAGAACGAACGAAGGCCTTGATTAAAAAAAACTCTATAGACATCTTTGAATCATCTATAAGGTGCACATGGTTTAGAACTACAGAACTTTTCTGAGATCTTTAAGATCGCAAATTAAGACTTTGCGGATTTTATACATCAGCATCTCATAGTACAGCAAAAATCAACTCTAGTATCATTTGCTTATCGTTTTTCTCTTCTTTTTTTGGTGGGCATGCCCGTTTCCGATATAGAATTTGTGAGGTTGCCGCCGGGCTCCTTGAGAAAGTGCGTTTTGATTTCTTCGAAATTCTGTAAATCATGTAGCTTTTCAAGATCGGACAGCTAGCATGCGATGTAGACTTTTCACACATTGCTTTTGATATCTCAGATCAATTTCTCAAAATCGTTTGTCATTTGCATAGAGAAACTCTCGCTTTCCGAAGCATTCAGCGCATGAGCATTCAGAAATCAAGAGGATCCAATTTTTAAGACGATTTAATCCTAAGTTTGCACAAATGATACCAAATAATCAATTCAAACCCTCGAATTTCGGGGATCTTCGCTTTTGCTTCTACGTATTTTTCTATCTAAATCATTTTTTCCATGACTAAGTCCAACCCTATAGAGCAGAAGGAAAAGCTGAACGTTGTTGTAGTCTAAAAATAATCGAATCAGATAAAAAATTCGAAATCAGCAAAATTTTGGGCATGGTAAATATAATGAAGTGAAATGCGTCTGTGGTTTGCACGCACCTGAAAAGTTTTGATCACATACAGCCACTAGGAAAAATGAGTAAAAAGCATGGAACTTAACTGAAATGTATCCTAACCATTATACAAATCCTTAATGCTCGTTGTTAGAGGAGCAAAATCAAGATGACCTGATGAGTGACGCGAAATTTCAGTGTACGTTCGAATTTCAACATAGGAGAATTGCTCTTAATCAATTTTTTCTCATCTCTACTATACTATCATCAAATCTTAATTCCTTGTTTTGAGGTATATCCGTACATTTTGAGATAATTTGATTCAATTCACCGATTGTAACTGGTCCGTATAATGTGGATCAGCGAAGAAGATTCTTTTGTCACGAAATTTAGGTACAAGTGGCTCCACCCATTTCACCTGAAATTAGCAAATTTTCTGCCAAACTGCAAATAACTTAACTTTCTTCCAAACCAGCAAGCACCAAAAAACCTACAGCCTTCGATTCCAAAAGCTCTCCAATCACTTCTTCCGTATCTCTTTTCCTTCTGTTCCTGTGCTTTGCTATGTAGATATTGTTGAACGATTGCAGCTGTAAGTGGATTGCAAATGTTCAGGTATAATGGCTCTCGTACATATTTTCTAGAATAGCTGCAATCAAGCATTGAATATGACCATAACGAACATGATGTAATTATGCAATCAGGTCCCCTTGCTTTCGTCATTTTTACATGCCCACATACCCAAAGGGATGCACAACATGGTAATATCTTTTCCTTTTTTGCATGAAGTGAACTACAAGGCTTTCAGATAGTGAGGCCGAAATTGGCCAGAGAAAAAGCATAAAAGGAAAGAAAACACCGTTAATTTTAGTTTGGTCGGAAAGTTCAGTCGTATTTTTGTTTGCTAAAAATATTTTGAAAAGTGTAAATCATGCATTTTCTAACGACACCTCGAACCTCTCTAGTAAGCTCTGATTGCGGAGATAAAAAAGGAAAAAAGAAATCACTCCAGGTTTGGAATTTTGAGCCAAGCCCCTTTCGAAACTCTGTCACAAAAAACAGCCAGCATTCCAGGTTTTTTGATTTTTCTTTTTAGCTGAGCAAGGTTCGCGCTAATCGAGCTGTTCTTTGAAAAGTTACGATTTGAAAAAAAAACAAAAATCACTCTTTAAGGAGGTTTGATTTTTTGGCATTTTCCCAAAAATCATAAATTTTTCGAAAAGGGCTGATCAGCACGAATTTTGCTCAGCTAGAAAGAGGGGATCAAGTAACCTAGTTTACTGGCTGTTTTGGATTTTATGGCGCAGTTTTGGAATTTTTTACGGGCTTGCCTCGAGATTCCAAACTTGAAGTGTTTCCTTTTCACAATTTTATTGCATTTGGAGCTTACTAAAGAGAGTGCAAGGTGTCATTGAAAATTGCACGGTTTATATTTTCTAATGAAACCAAAGTCATGCAAAAACGTTGTGATAAAATTACGATTTTTTAAAGGGTGCGACAGAACTTTCGGACCAACCTAATAACTAGCGCAGTAACTTTTTTCAAAAATGAAATAGTATTTTCTTGGAACAGCCGTTGAGAAATTGCAGGTGTGCTGTAAAGGCTATTTTCTCACTCCTCCTCGGACTTCGTTATAAAGCCCAAACAGCTTTGTATACTGTACAAGGTCTTTTTTAGAGGCATGCTCATGAACTCAACACGAAAGTCTCTGAAATTTCAGAAAGTAAACATTATGGAGCAGCTAAATCAATATGGCACCGTATGCGCATAGACTTGAGTTGGAATCAGCTCCACAGAATTATACCGAAAAGTTTTTCATGAATGTGACTGAATGAAGGTTGAATGAAGGAGTTGGTTACTATCATAACGATGTACAGATACTTTTGGAAAAGTTTGTATACTGAAGATTGTCGAACAGCAAGAATAAGATTGGCAAGGTTTTAGTGCTGATTTATTTCAACGAGGAATCTTATCAGCGCATGCAAGAAGTTCTGAACATTTCTACTGAGTGGATCAATTTCGAGCACTTAAGATCACAGAAGTATTACATCCGATCACGGTTTCTTTCAAAGACATATAAACGGGTTCACTGGATTTTTTGTAAATAACGTTCTATAGGCGTGTTGTTCTATTAGGTTGTAAAGAAAGTTCCCGGGCACTTGCGAAATTTTTTTTCAACCTGCTGTAACTTCAAGCAGATTGATCCTTTTTGAGAGCTGCAAAATTCGCTGCTAAGGCAATCTTGGGTCCTCAGCGCTTTATTTCTGGCCACCAGCATGCGCATTAAAGAAAAAAAATCGACTTAGAATTCAGCCTGTCAGTAAAGGAATTTGCAGCCACGAAGAGAGCTGGAGAGCTCATATCCGGTAGTTATGTGAGACTCTACTGGGGCTACTTATAGACTGTGTCACAATTTTAGACCAGAGCCTGTGAAAAAAATTTTTCCCAAAAATAATTGGCCATTTTTGCACCTCAAAAATGCCCCAGTTTCTGAGTAAATGAGTTTGAAATCATCCTTTTTTCCACAAAATGAATCAAACCTTTGATTGCTGCAAATATTGTTTAATTGCACATCTTTTGGGCCCATCACGGAAGCGTGACGATCTTCACAAAATCGAGGCTGACAGCGAAAACAGGTGCGGTCAAAGGCGAGTTTGACAGCTTGTAATATTTGTGCTATTGTAAAATCCGAGCACATCTGTGATTCTAAACTAGACAGCCTTGTTATTCAGAGTGATCAAGCCTTGAATGGTTTTTTTCGTTCACTGCGAAAAATGGCAGCAAATAGGAAAAATGTGAAATTTTTATTGTTGAACAGACTTTTTTTTGGTACGTGGATCAAATGCGGTTTGACATCGACAAAAACTATTAGGTTGGCTAAAATACAAGTCCAGTCGTTTTTAACGGTTTGTAGAAAATTTACGAATTGATTTTTGTAAGAATGTTGAAAGCTGGACAAGGAAATTTGGTGGTGGAATGAGACAGTGCAGGCTGAGATAACAAGTAAGAAGAAAGCGTACAGAATATGGCAGCAAACAAAAGCAGAAGGTGCTCACCAGAAGTATCTAGAAGCAAAAAGAACGGCTAAGAGAAGCGTCAAGCAAGCGAAGGAAGCATATATAGAAGGACTCTACAGGAAGCTGCACACCCGTGAAGGCGAGCGAGACATATACCGAATTGCGAAGACAAGAAGAAACGCCTCAAAAGATGTTGAGCACTTCTACTGTATCAAGGACGTGCATGGAAGAATTCTGAGGAAGCCGCAGGAGATCAATGAAAGATGGAGAGCACATTTCGCAGAGATTGCATCCGCTGGTTACGAATACACATCCACGATAAAGGCGGAACCCGTAAGTGGACCAGTACCGGCTATCACGGAAGAAGAAGTTCGCATCGCCATAACGAACACAAAGAATGGCAAGGCCACAGGTTCAGACGACATCGCCAACGAGTTCTGGAAGGAGTGCGGACAGGCGGGAGCTTCATGGTTAACACGTCTTCTAAACCAGATAATCGAATCCAAGAATATACCAAATGACTGGTACAAGAGCACAACCATACCGATATGGAAGAATAAAGGCGACATAGCTGACTGCTCCACATACCGACCGATCCGACTCATGTGCCATACGATGAAAATCTTCGAGAGAATACTGGAAACGAGGCTTCGAAGTATCGTGGAGTTGGCCCCCAACCAGTGCGGATTCGTAAAGGGTTGCAGTACAATAGACGCCATACATACCGTCCGAATGATGATGGAAAGAAGCCGAGAAAAGCAATGTGAGCTACACGCGGCATTCCCTGACCTGGAGAAGGCTTTCGATAAAGTACCGCACGACGTAATATGGTGGGCACTGCGGAAGCACGAAGTACCTGAAGAATACGTCCAATGGATCAAAATGATATACAAGGGTGCCACCAGCCATGTACGAACAGCAGCAGGACGCTCAGATGACTTCCAGATAAGCGTTGGGGTGCATCAAGGATCCGTACTCTCGCCCCTACTCTTCATCACTGTACTGGACACGATCGTCAGAAGCTTCATACGCCAACCTCCTTGGACCGTAATGTACGCAGATGACGTGATTCTGATGGCAAGAACCAGAAAAGAATTAGAGAAAGATGTACAGATGTGGAAGAGACAACTCGAGCTACACGGTCTGAAGATCAATACCACGAAGACAGAATACATGGAGCTGGGACCCCAAACGCCGGGAACGATTCAGATCGCAAGTACAGCAACAAAGAAGACAACGTCCTTCAAACATCTGGGCAGTCACATCTCGGCAGACGGTACGCTTCAAGATGAGATTACCAGCCGGATAAGCGCAGCTTGGTTGAAATGGAGAAGCCTTACTGGGATTCTGTGCGACAAACGGATGCCGCTCAAGTTGAAGTCACAGATGTACCGCACTGTAGTACGCCCCACTGCTCTATACGGAAGTGAGTGTTGGCCGTGCACGCGTAAGGAAGAACGGAAGCTTGGTGTGATGGAAATGCGTATGCTAAGGTGGACGATGGGTATCACAATGCTTGACCATGTCACGAACGAAACCATACGAACAACGATGAAAGTTGCCCCGATAACCAAGAAGATGCAAGAAAAGCGGCTTAGATGGTACGGGCATGTGAGAAGACGAGACGAAGACCACATCACCAGATCAGCGATGAAAGTAGAGGTTCCTGGAAGAAGACCAAGAGGTAGACCGAAGATGCGTTGGACAGATCGAATCAAAGCAGACTTGGGAGAACTTGAGATAGACGAAGAACAAGTCGTAGATCGTGAAGCCTGGAGGAGACTAACAAGAGTAGCAGACCCCGTATGAAAGATGAAGATGAGAAAGATGGGAAAGATGCAAGGATTAAAAAAAATTTTGTAAGAATGTGTGGTACCCTCGAAAAGAGCAAATCAAGGAGAAATGGATGATTAACACTATTTGAGCGCCAATCATCGTCTTGGCAACTAAATCGTGCAGGGAAGTAAAACAGTCAAATTTTTCATAGAATTTCCGAAAAATCACGTTCGAAAAAAAGCTGAAGTTGGGTGTAAAATGCATAGTTGGCATCCAAATAACAAATTTCGAAATTTTCAACCATTTGCACGACCACAGATATACCATAGATAACGTCAAATCTAAGAAATTATGATTGCCAAAAACTGACTTCCACGAGCAAATGCCTGAAAATTCTCACATTTCTGGCTATAGAAATCCACAAACCGCGATCTCCATTTTAGTTCCATGTAGCCAAAGGTTGTATATCTTGAACCACCAAATAAGTCATCTGCGCACCCTCTATACGCTGAGAACGAAAGTTGGAAAGTCAAAAAAGCGACTTTTTAGGGGTCTGACCATATAAGGGCACAACTATCACTTTTGGGTGAAAAAGATCCTGACTACTTGATATTTGAGAGTAGAGGCTTGAAGGTACTTCGCTGCAAAAAAATTTCAGCTAGATAGCTGCCATTCGAATTGTTATGGAATTTCGAAGTATTATGTCAAACCGGACTTATTTATTAGCCGACCTAATAACTGCAAATCTGGAAAGCTTAGGCTTTTTAGAGAAATAAAATAAAATAATTTTTAATATTATATAAAATATTCGTCGTTATGATTCAACAGAGTGCGAAAAAACGAGTCTGAGAATGAAATTCCCTTAAACTGCTCGGGAACATTCCTTACGACCTAAAAATTCTTTCACAGCTTTACAGCTAAAGATTATATTTGATGGAATTAGGTAATCTTGAAGACTCTTTTGAATGTACAAATACTAGGCTCATTAGAACAAGTATATAAAAACTTGAAAGAACGGCGAGCACATCTCACCCTTATCGTACTGGATGAATATTGTGAACAGTGCTCACTACTAAGACACTAATGGGCTAAGTAGAAGGAGAGGAGGCTGAAGACGAAAGTAAGAGCATTACGGAAGTGGCATAAGTTTTTCGCATCTTCCTCAGTGGTCGGCATTCTCCTGCTTAAAGGCAGCGTCCAGGCAAGTCTGGACCTGTGGGGATTTTACGTGGAAAGTACTTTTGGGGCCCTAACTAAGCCACTGCCCAACCGGCAGCTCAGGTAGTGCCCTAACGCCTGAGATATTCCCCCCGAAACTGGACCCCGCGACCGTGTTTCGCACGGATTCATGGCGCAAAGCGTGGATCCTGGCGCGAAACTGCTATGAATCCATGCGAATACGTTCGCGGGGGCCAGTTTCGAGGGGAATACCTCAACCATTAGAGCACTACCTGAGCTGCCGCTTGGGCAGTGCCTTAGTTAGGGCCCCAAAAATACTTTCCACGTAAAAGCTCCATAGGTCCAGATCTGCCTGGATGCTGCCTTTAATGGCTTAGTCTCAGGATTTCGTCGAGGTGCAGCTTTCCTTCGCGCTTTGTTCTATCAGAGGTGCACCGTTATAAATTCGAATCGTACCTTTTTCTCGATTTCGAAACCCGCTTTTTCGGCCAAGTTCCTCACATTGTCAAAGTAGTTCGCATCGATCTCTATCGCAAAACGGCCTTCATTTTCGGTTTCCCCATTCTGGATAAAAGATCCAAACCCAGAATCCGAAGCTGCTTCGTTCTTTATTAGATATGCAATAATTTTGCTCAGATGAGCATCATATTCCAGTGAATATAGCAATGGGACACAAAGTAAGCAGAATGCGAGAAGCTGCAAAGACATCAAGCCCTCGAACGGGCGGAAGAGCCACTTTCGACTGCTGCGGTCCGCACTCAGCTGATAAGAAGTTGGAATTCGCCATTTGTCGTTTTTAGGGAATGCCGATAAGATGCTTTATTTGAGCATTAAAACGCTGTGACTCAAAGTATGAGTGGCATTAAAAATCA